CGCGCCCGAGAAGCCCGGCCAGAGAAAAGACAGCAGAGAACCAAACCCAATCATCATGGGGGCCTGCCGCGGCCAACTGCTCAGCGGCTGTCCCCCGGGCCAAACTTCACTGTCAGTACTGACTAGCCTAACTACTACGGTCACCCGGTAGTCACCGTGGAAGTTAACCGTTCATCATCACGGTTCAACGGTTCAGTGCGCGCGGTCGGCCCGGCCGCCGCCGCCAGCCTCAGTGCCCGGCCGGCCACTGCCGCCGGCGCCGGTGCAGTGCGGCCGCGAGCGATGACCCCGGCGCCGGGCGGCCGCCGCGGGCCTTGCGGGCCACCGTCCGCCGATCCGAGCCGCGGACCGGGCGGATCATTCAGGCGACTGAGTCACGCCGGCGGCCCGGCGGGTGGCCGGGCACCGGCGGTGTCCGACTCAGTGACTCCGTGGCGGGCCGAGCGGCCGCCGGGCTGCCTGAGTCGCACGGTGAGATACCGGTAGTACTACCGTCACCGGGCCCGGGGGCGCCGTACTGAGTACCGCCGGGCGGCTAGCTGAGGGCCGGGCCGCCGCCGGCGGCGGCGACCGTGACGGCCCGGCCAGTGCTGACTCGGAGCCTCCGAGTCGGCGGCGCCGGGCCGCCGCCGGGGCGCGGCCGCGCGGCGCGCGCGGCCGGACGCCGGGAGGCCGGGCTGAGACCCCCGGCGCCCGGCGGCCGCCGCGGCGCCCCGCGCCGGCCCGGCGGCCGGTGACCGTACGGTACTACGGTGCCAGTCGTTGGTGGGAGCCGCGCCGCGCGGCTCGAAGCGGCGGCGACTGTATGCGGCAGGACCGTACCGTACGGTACGGTCACGGCGGGTGCCACCCGTTGACCGACCGGCGTAGTGACGGTCGCCGGCCGCCCGGGCCGGGCTACCGTACGGTCCGATACCGTGGTCCGAATAATGACCTCTAAGGCACGGTCGGCCGCAAGTTGCAGCCTGTGACTGATAACATGAGATACTACGACTATTTTCAGGGGGTGGGTTCATAGAATTTTCCACTGATGCTGTACCGGAGTCCGAGGCTTCTGTGGTCAAATCACCTGAAGCACAGGGGTAGTTTTGAAAGTTTGTCTGGACCTGGGGTGGGTCCAGAGGGTTTGATCTGATTTGTGTGGTGGAGCGGTAAAGCCGTGCACAACTCGGAGCTTCATGAGCTACAAAAAAGGAGATACACCCTAGGAAAAAACAAATAGATGGTACAAATAGCTAAAATAGATGGCTCAAATTCTTTTATACTTGTAGGAGCTTTGTTTTAATTTGTAACAGCTCCCCGAAAATGACTTCAAGGCGACGAGGCTTCAAGAGGGTTTCACGTGTTTCCAATCACCACTACAGACCCCTTCAGTACGTACAAAGATAAGTAATCATTTGACTTATGACATTGTAGAGTAAACTATTTCGTACTAAGAATCTCTGTAGTGCATTTTCAGATCAGCTCCTGTCGAAATTCTATGGAAGTAGCAGGCGTTGATTCGTTTTGATTCAGAAAGCGTACCCCCTACCCCTACTTTTCCAAAGTCTTGTACCGGCGGGAGGACTGCCTGACTTTTAAAAGGCCAAAAAAAACAACTAAGTTTTTTTTTAAAATCGACTGTCCCCACCTTGAAATTTTAATTTCCCCGCCCATTCCCCCTCCAAGGGTCACCACCCCTCACTTTGAGCATCTTCGAACCCTGCCTTTCCGCTCCTCCAAAACGATCAAATTCGACACTACCCACCTGGAAGGTTGCCCTGCTTGCTACCCCTGTATTCACCTCCATCACCCCCTATTTCAAGGAAACGATAACAGCATCTGATCGTGCGCTTCTCACTCATCTATTGTTCTTTTTCCTCCACCCCACCCCCGGCTTTTCCCCAACCGATTCGAATGTCGAACACCTAATAGATCTTTCGACAGCTAGAAATGGGTACCCCCACCCTCTGTCACAGAATCAGAATTGCCATTATGCACGGGTACTCCGACTATTTGCTGTACGGATTTCCACCCCCACCTGCATGATCGGGCTCCCCTCTTTTTTAGTCCCCCTGTGCTCAGCACCCCCTCTTTCTAGTCTTGAATACCCTGTCTTCAATGCTTTTCTTCTCCCCCTTCTACACCACCACCCCCTGTATTTCCCCTGGTACACCTCACACCCCCTGCGCCCGAAAATCCGTCTTCATGCAACCATGCCGGCCCCAAGCACCCCCAGTTGTGCGCACCCACGCATTTGAGCTCTGCCCTCTTTTACCATATACAGCACTGCTCTTGCATGTTTCCTGTTTGTGAGCTGTCAGTCCTGCATATGATTCCACTTATCTTTCCTGATACATATCCAGATATCCGAACCAGGAAACTCTTGTTAGAATAGAATGTTCCGAATTCCTCGCTTAATTGTAACACGCACCAGTCCATGCCGATTTTCTGCCTTGTATGCAAACGAAAAAGAAGAACTTTTAGTCACTAAGAATGTGTTTTACAAATGTTCCAGTTTCAAAAAGGCTTGTTGGTGGCATTGGGGATGTTGCCCTTGTCTTGTTTTGTGAGAACAAGGCTGCGCTCAGACATTCGATTAGACAGTCATTTACTGCAAATCAATGCTGATCGATGGAAATTCTGTTGAATGTACACCATATCCTCCATTTCAAGTTACAAACGTGCTATTCCATCTGACTTCCGACTCTCTAACTGAGTTGTGGTGAAAGCGGACCTGACCTTTCTTCTCTTAGGTATCTTTCAGAAAGCAAACTTCCTGCCATTACAATCCTCGAAGTGACGCATTATGGGCAATCCAGCCACAGCACCACGAACACACTTGACCGTCGAGGCTGTACGCGAAATTTTCAACTTGCGTCCACAACTCTCTCCGAATGGGTTCCTTGATGCCTCGAACCATGACAACTGTCCTCGGGCTGTTGCGAAACGCTATGGTGTCACTTCTAAGGTGGTTCGAGATATCTGGAACAGAAAAACATGGGTGCATGCAACACAAGAGCTCTGGACTCAGAAGGAGAAATTGGTTCACTTGTTCGAGACTGCCTCACCAGATCGTCGTTGCAAAATTTTGAGCACTTTAGATGGCGAGCAAAAGACTGCCTTTCAGGAAATTTTGAGGACGACACGTAGGCGACCTGGGCGTCCAGTTGGTGCTAAGGACTTTGGACCTAGGAGTGATAACAGGCTGAAAGCCCCGAAGCGGGAGCAACAAGAATACTTCAACAAACATGAATGCGATTCAAGTGCGGAGAACTCAAGTGTTGAATCTTCGATGACCATGCATGATGAAGCTTCAAGTCTTGATGACTCTTCAGAAGCCAGAATTTCTATTGGCGAGCTATGTGCTTCTACACCAACTAGTTGTGGTACTGCTAGAAGGTGTTTTCCCAGCTTTGCAGATGCCTTTAGGATCAAAATTGATCCTGCGTGCTGAGTTCTTGAAATGTGACATTCCTTGCCTTTTTCTCTTGCCTTCACCCATTGATTTTAGCCTCTTTCTAATATACAATTAGTTTTTCAGCAGTTCGGTCTCCCGCAAGTGATGTTTGCTGACTGTAAATTTTTGCCGTGGAATTCGTGTGTGCTCGCGACGCTACCGACTCTTGATTCTTTGGTGCGATCTTGTACACAATATTAAAGCAAACTCACTGATGAATGGGTCTAACGAACATGAAAACACCTGCAGCTATTGTCCCAGGCCGGTCACAGCCTCCGAGTCAAGCCCGGGTTCAAGTTCAAACGGCAGTGGCCGACTCGGCGCTCCGGCGGCGCTGGCGTGAAATCACCGGCGGGCTGAGGCCCCGGCGGTCACGATCGGGCACCCGGGTCGGCCGGGGGCCGGCCCTGGGCCGCCGCGAGTCACGGCGGGTCGGAGTCACCGTCACGGCGTTGCGGCACCCGGGAGCCGTCAAAGTGCCACACTGTGACAGCGGGGTGCAGTGCCGGGCGGCCCCGGCCGCGCGCCGCGGCCGGGGGCCGCTCAGTGTCACCGTCGGTGCCGCGGGGGGGCCGCCGCCGCACCCCGCCGGGCAACATACTAGTTAGTCGGCGACCGTGACCGAGGCCGCCCGGCTGGGAGTCGGCTAAGTCCCCGGACACTGAGTTGAGTCAACCGGCTTCGGAAGTCACAAGCGGCCGGCCGGGGCAGTAACTTACTAGTTAAGTTACTTACAGTGTTGAACTGTTAAAACTTCGGCCCTGAATGACTCCCCCCCGAGAGTCAGTTATCCCCCGCGATCGCCGGGAGCCTCGGAGTCCGCCGTGAACGTGACGCGGCCGGGCCTGGCGGCTGCTCACTGCTGAGTCAGTGAGCCACTGTGCCGCAGTGCGGCCGGGCGGCCGCATTGCGGCACGTCCGGCCCCGGCCGACGCGGGCGGACCTGCCGCGTGACGGTGCGGCGGCGGCTGCGGCGCGGCGGCCCGGCCGGGCGCCAGCGGTCGGGAGTCAGTGCCGCCTCCGCGGGGCGCGGCCAAGTTCGTTCGGGCCCGCCGGCCCCGGCGGGGCCGGGGGCGGCCACGGTCCGGCTGGCCGGGCACCTTTCGGCGCTATGGATACGGTCTGATCAGGCAGCTCATGGTAGGAAAGAGAATGGGGGAATAACGAGGGGTGAGAGCCATACAGGGTGCTGCCCAATGTCGAGCGGTGAATCTGAGAAACCTGAGTCTTGACGGACAAGGGTCGTTAAGATTATATAATATCTCACTTAGAGGATTGATGACCTTTGAGGTACATTTGTTTGCTGCTTTGCATGGTAGGGTGGTTGTTCCAAGGGGGTCTGACCCCTCACCCCGCATATTCCAGCCAGACATTCCCCGAGGGTTCCTACACCCCCGCCCGTTTTTTTTTCTTCTAGAATTTGACTTAAGCTATAATTCTGTTATGAATATTGAAATTTCAGCTACCAATCTTGAATTTCATGATCCACAGTTTCTTTTCGCTAATACCCCGCCACCCCCTTTATACCCTGGCAGTGTCAAACTACTACCCCACCCACATCTTTCGATTTTGTGATAATCTACCACCCCAGTCATGCACACAAAACAGAGACGACCCACCCCCTCGTCCATCTCTGTTTGCCATCATCCATTCCATGGGACCCCTACCCACGAAATCTCCTTCCAAATACCCTACCTGCTCCCAGTACTTCCTTCCTCTACTATAGCCCCATAGCAACGTCACCTAATTACCCCTACCCCTATTGCTCATTGTCACCCCCTTCATTTACACGAAATTTCACCCCCCACCCGATTCAAAGTTTATGCACCCAACCCAGGTTGGTTGTAAATTCTGCCTTCAAAAGCATCCGGTCTGGTCCTCTACTTTTCTCAAGTATACACATATTGATTTTGCATATCTAGCTACCTTTTGAACTACTGCATCGCCGAGCAACCCCATTGCATGGAATAGCAGTACCCCACGGGCCTCATACCCACCCAAATCGAACATCACCCTACCCCTAATCAAGACCACCCTGAGAGGATCAAACACTCTCAAGCTTCCTCCTCTTTCCCCTCTCCGCCGCTGCCCCCCGTAAGGTGTCCATACAAATCTCACCGGCATTCTAGCATTCTCGTCACTTCCTGGCGTTTCTCATGGATCAAACTTGGTGGAGATGAACTTCTCCTATGATCCTGCGGCTCTAGCCCGTTGCATTGCAGTCCTGCAATCGCACACCACCTCAACTTCATTAGTGATTCTGGATTTTCGCTTCGCCTGATATATTCGCTTCGCTCTTTCTTTCCAAAGCCTCCCCTGTTGCATCAACAAGCGTTTTCGCCTTGTTCTTATACCATCTTGTTTTTAAAATCTAGATCCTAGATTTTTTTGTGAAATGTGCCAGGCATACGCAATGCGCAGATCGTAGTATTCGTAGGCGGAAACAAGACCAAATAAGAGTGTTGCGTGGTCTTATGTTGTCCTCAAAATTATGAATAATCTGGAAATTTGTTTTGTCTTCTTCTATTTCTTGTTGCTTGCATAAGTCTGGTTTGAGCGAAAAAAATGTTCGCCATTTTTTTTGATGCGAATATCAGCAGTGGACTGAGAACTGATCGATGTTCTGTTTTGAAAGGAAGTCTCGAGGTATCTACAGGGACTAACGATTGGAGTGGAGTGCGATGGCTGCCCCCATCAAACTCAATGAAGTTCTCAAGGTCCTAGCTTTTCAGTTCCTGAATACACACCGATGACGTCCTCATGACAGATCCCTGCTCTTGGAATCAGAGCAGATGCGATCTCTTTTGCCAACTGCACGATGGAGTCGGAAAAGTTCATCACTGTCAGAGAACAAGCTGGAGAACAGGTGTCGCTCTGCCCTTTGTCTCCAGCGAGAAATTTAGAAATATTTTCAGGTCATGATTCACATCGTCGATTTGTTCAACCCAGCGCGTACTGAAAAACGGCCGATCACTGCTGATGCAGCTTTGATGAACCCTGTATGTGTCTTGCTAACATGCCTTCGTGTGTGGTTATTCTTGCGTTAGGTTGCCAAAATCTTGGCTTTGAAAAGTGGACAGGCACTTCAGATTTTCAACATGTCAGCTTTTTTCTCTCTGGAGTTCATTCGCTCACTTGTCATGACAGCGAGCTGAAATCCAAGATGAAGGCACACAACATGCCTGAGCCAGTGAGTCGATTCATGTTACCGTGAAGATTCCTGAATTACACCAAAGGTCGTCTACTGGAAATGGATTAATGAAAGAACCATGGCATTGGTAACTGCAAACGCGGTTTTTCATTGGAGCATGGATGGCACCAGTGAACCCGTCAAGTAAATGCCAATGATTTTGCTGGAATCAATTTGATATTTGGGACGTAGGGTTTTCGACAGGCTCCCGCAAATGTCAACGTACCAGATCATCAATTATCGGTCTGTTTCGCGACCTATTGCCAAAATATTCATTGAAAGAAATGCAGCGCTGACGCAGCTGAGAAATGGATGGTTTTGACTGGCATTGCACAAGTAAGACGCGGCAATTTTCTGATTCTAAACTGACCTCATTCAAGGCACAAGATGGATCTGGAAGGATTGTTGGCAACATGCAACTCTACTCTGCAGAGAAGCAACAAAGCCAGGTATGACGATGGCAATGGTACACATCGCAGAAACACTGACAAACATGCCAGAGTATTGAAGGACATGCAGCGGCTTTCTCCCAGTTCCTGTGTCAGGGAGCGTAAGCCTGTTTGATGGTTGTAGGTTTGTGTTTGATTGGATTTTGCAGAACTGAGCAATCAACTTTGTTCGCTTTTGCCAACAAGGTTTTATCTGCCTTATTGAAGTCAACCGAACTGACTTTGATATTACGCAGAGTGCAACTGGAACAAAGTTGCACATCATTGAAGTTGTGAAAGGAAATTCCGCAATGGTACATATGCACAAAAATGTCACTTGATGGATTGGTTGATCCGGGTTTGTTTCAGCCCTTCCAAAAGCGTGCCGTGGATATTACTGTCCCAGCTGATGCTGCAAACGATTTTCCAGTGGCAATGCAGGTTGGAAATGTAACCAAAGCTGACTTGGCAGTCTAATCTGTTCACCTTCAGGTCAGTGACAAGTATGGGCTCGTTTTCTTGGTCAGCAAATTTGGATACATCTACGTCTTCGACGTCGAAACGGGGACCCAAGTAACAATGACATCTGTTTAATATTCAATTGATTATTCTGAAAGGTGTTCATGAATCGCATCAGTGCGGAAACGATCTTCACAACCTGGTTTGTTCTTGATATGCTCATTCTTATTGCGTTTTGACACGCTGTGCGTGATGCAGTGTCAACTCGGCAAGTGGTGGGCTGCTTGGTATCAATCGTCTTGGACAAGTATTTAGATTTAGTCAGAATCGTATGGTCGTGATAGGTCATGCAGGTCCTTCATGTCCAGATTGACGATCAAAACATCGTCAAGTTTATCCAAGTAAGGAGCTCTGCGACAAAAATGGTTGTTTTTTCAATGTGTAATTTGCCTGTTTGCGCGGTTTCAGGGGAATTTGCAAAATCTGGACTTGGCAATGAAGGTTCGATTAGATTCTTGAATCTCAATCAATACCTGATTCTTCTGCAGGTTGCCGCCCGAGGGAAGCTTCCTGGAGCCGAGCAGCTGTATGCCGCCAACTTTGATCAGGTAAGCATCATTTATTTGAGAGAGCAAATCGATGATGCTTGTTCAGCTCTTAAGAAGTGGGGATATCCAAGGTGCTGCGGAAATGGCAGCCAAGTCGCCAAACGGTGGGTTTTTGCCTGTCCGTCCAGAAAATGCGGTCTAATAGAGAACAGGCGTCTTGCGTACTCCCAACACTATCAACAAGTTCAAGACTGTTGCTTCCCAGAATCCTGGTTCTTGGTTGACAAAAGTTTAGTTTGGGTTCTGACTCTATTTGAAAGGCGGCCAGAATCCACTTCTGATCTACTTCAGCAAGATCCTCGAGGATAGGTGATTTGACGTTTGATGATTCAGCAAGTGACTGCGATTTTTTTATTTAGCTCCTTGAATGCAGTGGAGTCAGTGGAGCTGGCACGCCCAGTCATTGGACAGGTATATATCATAATGATCAAGCACGCTCTGACAAATATCAACAGGGTAAGCAGCAGTTGCTACAGAAATGGTTCGACGAAGGAAAGGTTACTCACTGTTTTGCATATGCATGTGAATATCTCATATCTATGCAAAGCTTGAATGCAGTGAGGATTTGGGAGACCTCATCAAGCAGGTTTGATCGTTTCCTGCGTAATTTTTCTACTTTGATCTGATCATCAAGTGTAGGTCGATGGTACCCTGGCCTTGAAAGTCTACAACAAGGCAAACTGTCCTGGAAAGGTTACATAACTTGGCATTTTCTGCCCCAAGTCCCTTACCTGTCTGTAAGGTCATCGCTTGCTTTGTTGAGACCCAGCAATACGACAAAATTCTGGCATATGCACAGGTTTATTAGAGGCAGGATAGGCTGGAGACGTAATCTGCACTTGCAGCGTGTCGGATACCAGCCAGAGTGGACCGGCATCTTGGCGAACATGGTCGTCCTCAATCCTGGTCTTGACGCTTGAACTGCTGCAGAGGATCTTTTGACTCTGAGTCTCTAGAGGGAGCTGTACGCCTCGCCCAGATGCTTGTGAATCAAGAGGGTGGATCCAAGGTGATGAAGTTACAACAGCGTCACTTTCTAATGTTTGATACGAAGATCGACGTGGCAGCTGTTGCAGAACTGTTTCTGAACAGGAACATGCTTCAGCAGGTCAAACTCATCTATTGATGCTCGCACATGTGACATTTTCGTAGACGACCTCCTTCTTGTTGGATGCTCTTAAGGGCAACAAGGTATCTTTATCGACAGACTTCTGTGTGCGTGCTTAGTTTCAACAGCCTGAGGAAGCAGCACTGCAAACCAAACTTTTGGAAATCAACTTGAGGGCAGCTCCGCAGGTTTCTTTTTCTTCTCGTTTGTTGCCTTGGTTTGAGCAGTATTTAGGTTGCTGAAGCAATCCTATCGAATGGAATGCTCACCCACTACGACCGTGCGACTGTGGGTCAGCTCTGCGAACGTGCCGGGTTGTTTCAGGCAAGCTTTTCGATTTGCGTTGCTCCTTGTTGGCACTTCCTCACCTTCGAATCAGCGTGCACTCGAGCATTTCACCGAGCTCAAAGATTTGAAGAGGGTCATTGTATACGCTTCTCAGATGCAGGTATATTTCTTGTTATGCGCACATACTCTTTTCAAGTTCAATCTCTGGTTATTGTATATTGCGACCATCTGATTATTATTTTGAAGGCTGAGTTCCTGCTTGAGTGGTTTGGTACCCTTGACACTACCTGGGCTATCGACCTTTTGAAGGAGATGCTCGCAAAGGACATGCGAAGCAACCTTCAGATTTGTGTACAAGTTGCCACCAAGTACAGTGAGTTCATGACTCCGTCTACTTTGATCGGAATCTTCGAGGAGTTCAAGGTTTGTTTGCATTTTGTGATGTCGGTATCCTCGAATGATCGAATTCTCAGAGTATGGAGGGCCTGTACTACTATTTGGGTGCTATCGTGAACTTTTCTCAAGACGAAACAGTCCACTACAAGTATATTGTGGCTTGCGCAAAGGTGATACAACTCTCAATTCAAAGTTTCGTAAAGCCTGCAACCAGGTCGGTATGATGAAGAACGATTTCAAGGAGTTGGAGCGCATCACTCGCGAGTCTCAGGTGCTTTTCATCATGGGTTTGAAAGTTGCTCATTCGAATTCTAGTACTACCCAGCAGTCAAAGTCAAGGACTTCTTAAAGTCCGAAGCTAAGCTTGCGGATCCAAGGCCCCTTATGTGGGGATAAGCTCAAAATGAGTATCTTTGATTGACATGTCTAACAGCAATGTCTGCGACAAGCATGATATGGTTGAGGAGCTTACACAGGTTCCACTTCTCTTGTGATTACCTCCAGCATTTATTCTGGCTGTAGTATCTCTACGGCAAAAGCATGATGAAGTACATCGAAGTCTATGTACAGAAAGTGAATCCATTCAAGACTCCTCAGGTGCTACATTTCGATTTGTTGCTGAGACGTTGTCATGTTGCTGACAAAACAATTTTGTTCAGGTTGTTGGAGCTTTGATCGATGCCGGATGCCCTGAAGATCAGATTCGTTCTCTTGTGATGAGTGTGCGCAATCAATGCCCAGTAGAGCCTTTGATTGCTTCATGCCAAAAGAGAAATCGCCTGAGGTTTGTATCTGGTTTGATTTATATTCGTTGCATAATTTGGTCTTGAAAGGTTTCTGCTCCCATGGCTTGAGGCTCGTTTTGATGAGGGAGAACAAGATCCTGCACTTCACAATGCACTTGCCATGATCTACATTGACACCAATCAGGCACACAACCTGCCCAAGGATTTGACTCAATCCTTAACTGTTTCTCTTCAGAACCCGGAGAAATTCCTGGCGTCGAACTCTTACTACGATCACAAAGTCGTTGGCGCTTATTGTGCAAAGAGAGACCCCCACCTTGCCTTTGTGGTCTATAGGTACCTTGACAACTTGCCTCATGAGAAATCCATGTGACTGGATCATCTAGTTCTGCTCCTGGTGGCTTGTGTGATGACGAGGCTATTGCCGTCACCAATGAAAATGCGCTGTACAAGGCACAGGTCAAGAAACTGCCGACCTTGCTGTTGACATGCTAATATCAGTGTAGGCCAAATTCTTGGTCGAGAGACAGGATCTTGACCTGTGGGCCAAAGTTCTTACCGATGAGAACAAGCACAAGCGAGCTCTCGTTGACCAAGTAAGAGTTGTTCTAGGATGAATTCAATTTTCTTGATGGCTGGACACAAAAGGTTGTTTCAACTGCGCTCCCCTCCTGTAGGAACAGCGAGGCCGTTGCCTGCACTGTCAAGGCCTTCATGACTGCAAATTTGCCTAACGAGCTTATTGAGCTGCTCGAGAAGATTGTTCTCAGACCAGGTTTGCCTTTGTTGAACATTTCATTTCAAACATTGCTGTTGACATTAATGGCATAGATTCTGAGTTCGCTGCAAACAAGAATCTTCAGAATCTCTTGATTCTGACTGCTGTGCAAGTGGCTGGTGCTGGTGATTTTCTCGTTTATGTCGATGTTTTCAAGGTGACCATGGAGGATGTAGGGGACCTTCCGGAGGAGCACAAGGGGAGAGTCATGGAGTACATCAACAGATTGGACAAGTTTGATGGCGCAGACATCGCTTCCATTTGTGTTTCCGAGGGACTTTACGAAGAGGTTGGCGGAGTGGTTTATTTCAGCACTTGTTGACACCTGCGTTCAGGCTTTTGTCATCTACAAGAAATTCGATGACAAGAAAGCAGCTATTGGAGTTCTGCTTGAGAACATCAGAGACCTTGAGAGGGCTAAGGATTTTGCCACTGCCTGCAATCTGGATGAGACCTGGTCAACCCTTGCAAATGCGCAGCTCAATGCTGGACAGGTGCGAAGACGCGGCAGTCGTTGATGTTTGTTGATGAGTTTGCGCGCAGGTTGCCGATGCCATCGACTCGTATGTCAAAGCTAAGGATCCTTCCGACTACCTCCGTGTCATTGAAGCGGCTCAAAATGCTGACCAATATCATCCTCTCATCATCTTCCTCCAGGCAAGTTTTCTCAAGTGGATATTCTTCTATCTGAAGTACTTTCAACCTTGCAGATGGCCAGGAAGAAGGACTTCGGAACTCAGGAAGCTCGCTCGGTCATCGACACTGCGATGCTTATGTCGTATGCAAGGACAAACATGATGTCCGAGCTTGAAGAATTCGTTTCTTCCCCCAATATTGCCAACGTCGAGGAGGTTGGCGAGCGATGTGCTGAAATGGGCATGTTCGAAGCTGCCAGGATGCTGTTCAGCAGTATCTCGAAGCATGACAAGCTTGCTTCTTGTTTGGTTCGTCTGCAAAAGTACGCAGATGCAGTCGAAGCCGCTCGCAAGGTATTAAGCGTTGGATGAGCGAGTGAGCGATTGATTGATGAACCTTTCATTAGGCCAATTTCACCAGGACCTGGAAGGAAGTTTTGGTTGCTTGCGTTGATGCTGAAGAATTCCGTCTTGCACAAATGTGCGGCTTGAACCTCATGATCATTCCTGATGAGATCGAAGAGCTCATGAAGGCAAGCGATGCCAAGGCTGGTTGATGAAGTCTGACCCTTGTTCCAGGTTTACGAAAGACGGGGTCACTTCGAGCAGCTGATTGCCATGTTGGAGACCGGGTTGGGCACGGACATGGGTGGAAACTCATCGGGTATCTTCACTGAGCTTGCCATCCTCTACGTGAAGTACAAGGAATCCAAGCTCATGGATCACTTGAAGCAGTTCTTTTCTCGCATGAACATCCCCAGGGTCATCAGGGAGTGTGAGCGGTACGAGAACTGGCAGGCCCTGTGCTTCCTCTACGTGCAGAATGATGAGGCAGACAATGCTGCATTGACCATGATGAACCATGCTGCCGATGCTTGGGAGCACACTGAATTCAAGAGTGTGCTCGTCCGCTGTGCCAACCCCGAGAACCTGTACAAGGCTGTTCAGTTCTACGTGGAGGAGCATCCTATGGAGCTCAATGACCTTCTCATCTCTATGTCGAAGAAGGAAGGAATGCTGGACCACTCACGTGTTGTTGTTCTCATGAAGCGCAAGCTACCTCTTATCAAAGAATACCTCGAGCACGTGCAGCATCACGACATGAAGTCAGGTATTTCCATGTGGTGCTCGGGTAATGCCTGTTGTAATGGCTATCACCAGTGAATGAGGCATTGAACAACATCTACATCGAAGAGGAGGATTACGAGAAGTTGGATGTTTCAGTCTCGACGTACACCAACTATGATCAGCTTGAGCTCGCTGGACAGCTCCAGAAGGTCTATCCCGACTGCGTGTTGTGAAGTACTGATTTTTTCATGTAGCATCCTTTGTTGGAGATGAGGCGAGTAGCTGGAACTCTCTACACCAAGAACAAGAGATATGGGCAGGTACGTACCTTCGGACTGAAGCAAAGTCAATCTTACTTTCTCCCCCAGGCTTTGGAACTCTCAAAGAAAGACAAGCTGTACAAAGATGCCATGCACGTTGCTGCTACCTCTCAGGATCCGGAGCTGGTCGAGCAACTTTTGCGCTTCTTTGTGGAGGTATGCAGCCTTGTGTTCTGCAGGCACTTGTTAGTCTGACACCCTGTCAGGTTGAGGCCAAGGAGTGCTTTGCCGCTTGTCTCTTCACCTGCTTTGAGCTGGTCAGGCCGGATGTTGTCATGGAGCTTGCATGGCGCAACAACATCATGGACTACGCCATGCCCTACGTCATTCAGGTGCGATGGATCTGCCGATGCTTCTGTCAAGCTCTGACCGACCAACCCTCCTTCAGGTCACCAAGAACTACACGGCCAAGGTGATCATCCGAGAGATGTACATTCCCCTCGTGACATAATATCAGGTTGATCAGCTCGTGATTGAGAGCGAGAAGAAGAAGGAGGAAGACAAAAAGCATCAAGAGGCCATGGAGCAGCAGGCGGGAATGGGTGTGGACATGTCCATGCAGGGAGGTCCCCTCATGCTCACCATGGTTTGACTTTGCGTTCATTCCTCTTCGTTTGTGAAGAAACTCGCAGGGCCCAGGCATGGATGCTTACTCGCAAATGGGGGGTGGAATGGGCATGAACATGGGCGGCATGGCGACTATGGGCGGCATGGGGATGCCTGGCATGAGCGTTCCTAACATGGGCTCGATGCCTGGGATGGGAATGCCGGGCATGGCCACTCACTTCTAGATGTCTCCTCTTGTCCTGCTTGAGGTGTAGGGAGTGTCGCTGGTTAAATCGCTTCTCATCGCTTGTTTCCTCTTCCCTCATGCCCAACATGCCCCTGAGACCTTCCGCATCAGTTGAACTCTACTCACATGCTCCTCACATTGCCTGTGCTGTAGCTTGATCGCATGTTACTTCCTTCCATGCTGGTGATAAACATCTGAGTCGTTGCTTGCTTTTATAGCTTGAGGAGAGCCTGAGGATATGTGAAGCAAGACCAGCTACCTTGTTGGGTTGCGTCTTGGTGGGCAGTTCTGTCTGCAAGCTCGGCCTGTTTTCGGGGTGAGCTCTCTGGTAGCTGATAGCATGATTACGAGTGATTGCCATAGACGAGAATGTCTGTAGACCTCAGGATCTGAGACAGCTCGCGGCAAGGCGATGCTGCTGTGTCGCATGCACGGTGATGGCCAAATCTCAGAAAGTAACTAACACAGAACCGATCGAATCATACTCAAGCTCTATGCTTTAATATCTCCTGCTATTCACACCTTTCATGAGACGTCATGCTCTTTTTATTAAAGATGATCAATGCTTGGAATTGAATCAATTATTTCAAGGGTCTCGCACTTGAGCTCCGGACATGAGTAGCAGATGTTTCTCCTAGTCTGCCATCTTCGCACATGAAGACGCCATAAGAATGAGCTGGTAAGCAAGACATTCTTGCAACCCAGGTTGCGCCCTACATGGCTAGGCGTGGGCTCCCCTGCCAAGAACAAGAGATATGGGCAGGTACGTACCTTCGGACTGAAGCAAAGTCAATCTTACTTTCTCCCCCAGGCTTTGGAACTCTCAAAGAAAGACAAGCTGTACAAAGATGCCATGCACGTTGCTGCTACCTCTCAGGATCCGGAGCTGGTCGAGCAACTTTTGCGCTTCTTTGTGGAGGTATGCAGCCTTGTGTTCTGCAGGCACTTGTTAGTCTGACACCCTGTCAGGTTGAGGCCAAGGAGTGCTTTGCCGCTTGTCTCTTCACCTGCTTTGAGCTGGTCAGGCCGGATGTTGTCATGGAGCTTGCATGGCGCAACAACATCATGGACTACGCCATGCCCTACGTCATTCAGGTGCGATGGATCTGCCGATGCTTCTGTCAAGCTCTGACCGACCAACCCTCCTTCAGGTCACCAAGAACTACACGGCCAAGGTGATCATCCGAGAGATGTACATTCCCCTCGTGACATAATATCAGGTTGATCAGCTCGTGATTGAGAGCGAGAAGAAGGAGGAAGACAAAAAGCATCAAGAGGCCATGGAGCAGCAGGCGGGAATGGGTGTGGACATGTCCATGCAGGGAGGTCCCCTCATGCTCACCATGGTTTGACTTTGCGTTCATTCCTCTTCGTTTGTGAAGAAACTCGCAGGGCCCAGGCATGGATGCTTACTCGCAAATGGGGGGTGGAATGGGCATGAACATGGGCGGCATGGCGACTATGGGCGGCATGGGGATGCCTGGCATGAGCGTTCCTAACATGGGCTCGATGCCTGGGATGGGAATGCCGGGCATGGCCACTCACTTCTAGATGTCTCCTCTTGTCCTGCTTGAGGTGTAGGGAGTGTCGCTGGTTAAATCGCTTCTCATCGCTTGTTTCCTCTTCCCTCATGCCCAACATGCCCCTGAGACCTTCCGCATCAGTTGAACTCTACTCACATGCTCCTCACATTGCCTGTGCTGTAGCTTGATCGCATGTTACTTCCTTCCATGCTGGTGATAAACATCTGAGTCGTTGCTTGCTTTTATAGCTTGAGGAGAGCCTGAGGATATGTGAAGCAAGACCAGCTACCTTGTTGGGTTGCGTCTTGGTGGGCAGTTCTGTCTGCAAGCTCGGCCTGTTTTCGGGGTGAGCTCTCTGGTAGCTGATAGCATGATTACGAGTGATTGCCATAGACGAGAATGTCTGTAGACCTCAGGATCTGAGACAGCTCGCGGCAAGGCGATGCTGCTGTGTCGCATGCACGGTGATGGCCAAATCTCAGAAAGTAACTAACACAGAACCGATCGAATCATTCTCAAGCTCTATGCTTTAATATCTCCTGCTATTCACACCTTTCATGAGACGTCATGCTCTTTTTATTAAAGATGATCAATGCTTGGAATTGAATCAATTATTTCAAGGGTCTCGCACTTGAGCTCCGGACATGAGTAGCAGATGTTTCTCCTAGTCTGCCATCTTCGCACATGAAGACGCCATAAGAATGAGCTGGTAAGCAAGACATTCTTGCAACCCAGGTTGCGCCCTACATGGCTAGGCGTGGGCTCCCCTAAACCCCCTTGACAGTACCCAACTACTGTACCCCTGTTTGCATCCTTAAGACCACCCGTCATCAGCACCCTCGCCATGACGATGGCGATGAGAGCCAGGCAGGCCGTGCTGACAAGCGTCTATGGCTCTCGAGGGCGATACCTGCAGTGGAGAAGCGCTTATGGCTTCTCCACGGGACGACGCCTGCAGACCACTACGCCGCCGTATCATGCGCGACTGATGAGCTCGGACGGAAGGCGAAGCCTGTGGAAGCCGTGGATACAGGCCAAGGAGGAGGACGAGCTACCGCAGGAGACGCTGAGGTCCAAGTGTCATCGTCCTGTCGTGCCTCTTGTTCCTGTGTTCTTCTAAACGCTCACTGCCTTGTCTCAGGTGCTACGTGAAGACGTCGAGCGATGCATTCGCGTTGGAGGTAGCGCATGTGTGCACATGTTACCTGCAAGTGACTTGCAATGAAGGGGGCAAGCTCACGTCCGAGAAGTTAGACCATCTTGGCATTCGCGTTCAACCCGACTTCTGCTCGGAGGCCCTGGCGTCCATCGCCTTGCGTGAGGCCAGTGAGGTGCTTGCGGCACACGGGTACTCACATCACGGGGATGGGGGGGTGTTGGTCATGGACGAGAAGAAGGAGGTGAAGAAGAGTCTGGATATTGGCAACACGCTACGGGTGACAGGAAGACAAGAGTTTCCCGAGCAGTCAGCAGCGCCATGGGGATACGGTGATGATTTCAAAGTAGATAAAGTCCCTCCGGCTCTCAGAGCAATCTTGGAGTCCATCCAGGACTCTCGAGCTTTCTGCGTCGGTAAGCCGCGAGACCTGACCATCAACCGGAGGACCAACGGCTTCTTCAAGCTCGACCCTCATCTCGATCCTCTGCAGGATGGCGAAAACGTGTTCATCCTCAACCTGCTCTCCAACTCTGTAATCACCTTCGTCCCCCCAGGGGAGTTTCAGCGCAAGGACCCCGTGCAGATCGCGCTCAAGTCGTGGACGGATCAGGACGTGGACGTGCTCGTGAAGCATCGCACCCTTGTGCTCTTCTCCGGTCTTTCGAGGAACTCTTGGCGACATGCGATCAGGACAGGCTTGCAGGTCGAGATCGCCGGGGGGCAGGAGGTCTTTTGTGACTGGTGGGGGACACCCAAGAATCTGGTTCGAAGATCCAATGACCGCATTTCTTTGGTTTTTGCTTTTGGGGAAAAGACTTGCAACCAATCTTGTGCATGAATTTTTTGCGCCCTCCGACTCCCCAAGTTTTGCAAAGTGGGTTGAATGCTTAACGGATAGCAGCAGAAAGACAACTAAATACAGGCTTGTTTTTCCTGCCAGTTTGTTTGAAATTTAGTAAACTATCTGTGTGCCCAGTTTTCTAACTCGGCAACTGAAGTCAGCGTTGAGGAACAATGCACATTGAGGAAATCAACGCATCGAGAGGCGTTCGGATGAGTTCATATTATTTCTTACTTGGCCTTGTCAAAGCAAGTGCTACCCTTGTACTAGCCTGAAGCGATCAAACTCAATCTTGCGTAGGGAACTGCAATCTTGTGCTTTTGGCTCTTCAATAGTTGCATGACCTTTGATGTGCTGATCTTGCATCAGAACAAGCTGAAGGCTGCTATCAAACCAGCCAAGAAACAGAATCGCAAGCCTCCTTCCTTTCTAAGCCAAATTTGAGAATTTTTAGGTTGTGACTAAAGAATGGAGCAAACAAATTGGGTTGTTGAATTCAAAGGCAGATAGAATCATCTGCAGTATCAAGCATCTGCACAACTTTGTGTGTATTCGCGCTCGTTTTATAGGTTAAAAGCCCCAAAGAAGCCAAAAGGAGAGTGAAAAGGGGGGAACGGGAGCAAAAGAGAGAAGTGAAGCTCGACTAGAGGCGTAGAATATTGCTGAAAAGATGGTCAAGAAAACAGAGCTTTGATCGCAATCATTACGACTAAGATCACAAATCTGATATTGCCTCCATGAACACCAATCAACATGAAAATTTGTCATAATTTTTCGACAAGGTTCTAGATCGTTAACTTACGCAACAGGAGTCAACGGGCTCTTGTCGCTTATGTCGTCTAATGCAGCTGTGAGATATCGCAAAGAGACGACCAAAACAACAATGCTAGCGAAACCAAGAAGAATGAAACTGAGAGAGGCAAAAAAGAAATTTTGAGGAAGGACAACCAAGGTGTACATTATCATGGCCTTTGCTGTTATGTCTGCAGGGAAAGTGAATGAGGCTTGATGTACCGTGAAAGAAAATCTTGCGAAAACTTGCATCTTTGCGAAAACCAGACATGCGGCGAAGATTTCGACCAAGAAAAGAATGTGAGTGAGCCAGTCTTGACTGCCTCCTCCGATGGTTATCCAGTTGCAGAGAAGGAGTGCAGATGGAGCCGCAAGGATAGCATACTGCGGTTCATTTACCTCTTCTTCTGGCAAGCCGCAGAAATGTGCGCGAAAAACAGCAGCAGGGAAGAGGAAAGCAAATGCAAGAAGCCCCTGGTAGAAGAAGAGATCTGCCAACGTGCCGACACCAACCTCATAGCCTGTTCCAGCTGCTATACAGATACCTATCGGAGGAATCATCCATGAAGGGCGATACTTGGACCAGCTGTAGCCCTCCACCACAAAGACCCGATAGATGAAGTAGAGGAGCAAGAGATAATGAAGGAAACATCCGCAAGACCATAAAAGAAAGCTCGCCCCTGTTACTCCATGCATTCGCAGAAGCAGAGCTATCGACATGAGCGCCATATCCATCGTGCACAAAGATGCGATGGAGTCAGCTGAGTTCAGCTCGTCAAACGAGGCTTTTGGTGCAGCAACGAGCTTGCAGAGGTACATCAAGATAAGGGACCCAGACGCGTTCAGCATGAACATCGCAACCATATCTGAGCAACCACGAAGGGTGGGAGAACGAAAGAGCAGATCATCTCCTGCTTTCCATGCCAATCCTAAGCCGCTGAGGCCAAGAGCTAGGCCGTTTAAGTTCACTGGGATCCGCGCTAACGTAGTTGATAATCTATCTCTCTGGATCTCAGGGTTTAACAGAGAAGAATTTTCTCTCATCCTTCACTCGACTCTGTGCTCTTCCTCGGTGTCTTACCCGCTCGTGATCTCTCTCTCTATGTATGCTTTCAGTGACCTTCTCCCCTTGCTTGCTCACTCCCCATCAGATCGGATTTAGGACTGGGTTTAGAGGACTGCTTTACTCAAAGTTAAGTTAAAAATCAGTACGAGGACAATCAGGAGAGTCAAGGAGGGTTGACCCTGACACTACTGTCGCACAGCGGCCAAACGGCGAGAAGAGAAAAGACAGCGAGAACCAAACCCAATCCTGTCGACTGCTGTCCCCCAAACTTAACTGATACCTTCACTTAACTGCGCGCAGGACAAGTCCCCCCTTAGGGTTTAGGGTTTAGGGTTTAGGAGGCATGCTGCTCTGCGGCGCGTAGGGAGAGCGCAAGGGGACCGGAGGAAGCTGCGAGCAAGAGGTTCGTATAGTTCAAACAGCTTTCTAAGCATGGTACTACAGTATGATGAGAGCGTTCGCAGCCTGCTGTATCGGAGATCATGCCAATACACGCAGGGCGAGCGCTCTGGAGGCCACGTCGAAGAGGCCGCCGACCTCGTCGAGAGGGTGAAGAGCTTCGCGAAGCGGTATCCTGGTAGTAGGACAGCTCATGCTTGCAGAGCTGAGGGGGGATGCACCCCCGACGCTATCGCTGAAGCCATCCGCTCAACATGTCGGCAGGCGAGACGCGACCTGTTTGAAGACTCTCTGAGGGAATGGAGCTCAGAGTCGAGAGCATGGTTTATACAACAGATGGAGGAGGCCAAGAAGCAGAATGTCGAGACATATATCGGCACAGAAGGCACCGAGGGGACCTCCTTCATCTCCATGACTCTCCTGGGCATCTCCTCGATGTATGTTCGACAAGAAGACAAGTTGAAATCGAAGCTTATGGAACTGGGTCTCATGGTAGACTCAGTCGATGGAGTCGACAAGGCCATCATGTGGAAAGCACCTTACAGACCTGAGATAGCACGAGCAGACGACATCTCAGTCACCGTCTCCTTCCTTCGGAATGAAGCAGCCATGGAGCTATGGGAAGGCAGGAGAGAATACTGCATAGACGGCAGATCGTTCAGAGCCACAGAGGTGAGCATTGCACATGACCGGTCCTTCAAGCTTCGAGCCAAGCGAGGACCTTGGGGCAAGGGAGGGAGCCTTGCCGAGCTATCACAGCTCTTAGCTCTTGGAGGAATGTCGACGGCCGACATAGCTCAGATCTATCGATTTCAGCTGCTCTCGCAATCTCTTGCAGCCGCAGAGGTACAACCACTTGCGGGCATGCTCGTGCAGGGTCCTGGGCAGAGAGGTCGCAAGGGGCCGAGCCCGAAGACGTATGTTGCTGTTGGGGCAAGTACTGGCACTCTCCAGCAAAAAGAGCTGGAGTGGGTGCTCAGCTCGCCTTCGACGGCAAGTTGCGAGCAGACCTTGGCCTCGTTCAGAGAGAGCGAGGCGATGGAGGGGGTACATCTCACTCTCATCAGCGACGACGCCAAGCTCAGAGAGACGTTTGCAGTCGAGCTCACAGCCGACACCTTCGTTCCTAGGGGAAAGATTGCTAAGCAAAGGAGGGCACTCCGCGAGAGAGATCATGCGGGGCGCAGCAGCTTCAGAGTACAGATCAAGTCGAGGTCAAGCATGAGCACAGGCCGCTTCTCGAGGAAGGAGATGGAAGCGCTGTGCGGAGGAGGTAACACATCGATCACGAGAGTCAAGCGAGCCATGTTGGAGTTAGCAAGAAGGATAGGCGTGACGCTGGTCAGCGTCGAGGTCGAGGAGGATCGTGACACGCTCAGCTGGGATGGGAGCCTGATAGCTCTCTCCCTGGCGACCAAGGCAGAGGCTCGACGCTTGATGGAAGACATGCCCTTCTACTTGGAAGGGATCCTGGAA